TTTACTATTAGATGTTGGGGTGTTGACCTATTTTTATTGATTTTGAGAGGGGTTCTCTGTGCCTCCTGGATTTTGATGCCTGTTTCCTTCCCCAAATTAGGGAAGTTCTCTGCTATAACTTGCTCTAATATAGCTTCTGCCCCTCTCTGTCTTTCTTCTTCTTCTGGGATCCTAATTATTCTAATGTTGTTTCGTCTTATGGTGTCACTTATCTCTCGAATTCTGCCCTTGTGATCCAGTGTTGTTTATCTCTCCTTTTCTCAGCTTCTTTATTTTCCATCATTTGGTCTTCTATATCACTAATTCTCTCTTCTGCCTCGTTTATCCTAGCAGTTAGAGCCTCTAATTTTGATGGCACCTCATTAATAGCCTTTTTGATTTTGACTTGGTTAGATTTTAGTTCTTTTATTTCTCCAGAAAAGGATTCTCTGATATCTTCCATGCTTTTTTCAAGCTCAGCTAGTATCTTTATAATCATCATTCTGAACTCTAGTTCCGACATCTTACTAATGTCCGTATTGATTAGGTCCCTGGCAGTCCGTACTGCCTCTTGTTCTTTTTGTTGAGGTGATTTGTTTCCATCTTGTCATTTTGTCCAGAGGAGAAGAGATGAATGAGAGAACAAAATGCTCACAGGGTAACAACATCTCCAGAAAATATACACTAAACAAATCAGAAAAGACCTGAAACCAGGGGAAAAGAAAGGGAAAGAAAAAAGAAAAAAAAAATGAAAAAAGATAAAAACAAACAAAAACACAAAACACAAGAAACACAGAATATGATCAAATATGATCAGACTGGTACATAGATCAGTGCCACACACTAGATTTTGGGCGTATTTTGGTCTGTTAGAAGAAAGTGCCTCAAAAAATTTTAAAGAAAGATAAACTTATATATGTACAAAAATAAGGGTTAATATGATGAAGGGATGGAATATGACTGTAAAGATGAAAACTATAAAAGATTATATAAAAGGAATTGATAAGAAGTTGGTTGAAAAAAGAAAGAAGAGGATTTTAAAAAAAAAGGGAGAGATGTGATCAGGCAGGAGACTAGAACAAAGCCATACAGTAGAGATTTAGGGTATATTTTGATCTGTTAGAAGAAAGTGTATCAAAATTTTAAAGAGAGAACAACTTATATATATATACCCAAAATAAGGATAACTACTATGTAGGGATAGAATATGACTCTAACAATGAAAAATAAAAAAGATTTTTTAAAAAAGGGATTGATAAGATGTTGGTTGAAAAGTGAAAAAGAAAAATTGGGGAAAAAAAGACAGTTAAAAAAATTAACTTTGAAAGAATAAAGAATCATGGGGAAAAAAGCCATGAATTCTATGTGCTGTTTCCCCTATCCCTGGTGTTCTGCCATTCTCATTTATCAGTAAACTTGGTCTTGGCTGGCTGTTTGTGCTGATCTTCTGGGGGAGGGGCCTGTTGCTGAGGTTCCCAAATGTCTTTGCTGGAGGCGGAATTGCCCCGCCCTTGCCTGTCCAGGCTAAGAAATCTGCTCAGGTTTGCTCTCAGGAGCTTTTGTTCCCTGCAAGCTTTCCGTACAGCTTTGGAGGACGAGAGTGAAAATGGTGGCCTCCCAATCTCCGCCCTAGAAGAGCCGAGAACTCAGGGCCCCGCTCCTCAGTGCGCCCCCGGAGAAAAGCAGTCACTCTCGTCTCCCTGGTCTCCGGCCGCGCTCCGTGCTCACCCGGCCTGTGACGGAGCGTTTCTATCTCTGGCACCCGACCCCGTGTGGAGTCTCCAAACCTAGCAGATCCCTGCGGTGCGCTCCCGCGCCGCTCCTCCCGGGGGGAGGAGGGGGAGTCTCCCCGGCTCTGCCGCTTGTTGTGTCCCTGCTGGAGGAGCAGTGGCCCGACTGGGCCACGGATCACAGTTTATGGCAACCCCGAGCCGAGAGCCCGCGCCTTGGCTCCGTCTCTGCAGCCGGCTTCCCCGCTCCGATACCTGGGAGCTCTGCTGCACTCAGGCACCCCCGGTCTTTCTGTGACCCCGAGGGTCCTGAGACCACACTGTCCCGCGATGGTTCCACCCCCCGCTTAGCCACTGGAGCGACGTCCCTCCGCGGAGCCGACTTCTAAAAGTTCTGATTTTGTGCTCCGCGGCTCTATCACTTGCCAGAAGCGGCCGACGGAGGCCCCCTCCCCCGCCGTCTATGCCTCAGATTCACTTCTCTGCACATCCTACCTTCCAGAAAGTGGTTTCTTTTCTGTTCAGAGAGTTGCCTGTATCCTTTTCTTTGGTCTCCTGTTGAGTTCGTAGGTGTTCAGAATGGTTTGATCCCTATCCAGCTGAATTCCTGGGACCAGACAAAATCCAGGTCTCCTACTCCTCCGCCATCTTGCTGAGCCTTAGCTTATTAAACCATCAATAAAAATTTCTTTCTTGTGGGTCTCTAGGCGGGTGGGCGGCGCACATCTTGCCCCACTCGCAGTACTAGTTTTGGAGTTTGTTCTGTCCTTCTTCAAATTGATTTCTGGGGTATTTAGGATGATTTTATAGTTATCTATTTGTGTTGGTGAGATAGGATGAGCCTAGGGTCCTCCTATTCCACCACCATCTTCCACTTCCTCCTCCAGATTTACTATTTTTTTAATTGAAATAGAAATCTATGTGTTTGGACAAAGACTTATTTGCTCACAAATTTACTTCAGTTGAATGTTGTCTGAGTTACAATATTCAAATGATAATTCTAGTTTCTTTAACATATATAAAATTATATTTTTAAATGATATTACTAATTCTAATTCAATATTTTATTTTTATTTTTTTAAGCCCAAAGTAGATAGTGTCCGTTGTTTAACAATGCTTGGTCATTTTGGTTTTGAATGTTTGCCTCATCAGTTGGTGAACCGATCTATCCAACAAGGATTCTCTTTTAATATTCTCTGTGTGGGTAAGTGCCTGATTTCTCATCTGAATTATTAATTAATTTTTTAAAATGCTCATTTCAACTTATCTTAAGTAGTTTAACACTGGTGTTGTTAGTTCAAGACCATGTCTGTCGATCTGTATTTGTTTCCATCATGTTAGTCATACTACTTAGACTTTTGTTCTTTAAAAGTTTCTGTGCTCTTCAAAATCTGATTGTCTTTGTGTTTATATTTTCTATATTATATTAATGACTGAGAGAGTCAAGAGAAGCATGCATACTTTAATGGACATTATAGTCATTGATGTATTTAAGACCCTTTATAACACATTAGGGGTTAAGAGTGTTACTTCTTTTCAGCCATCTCATGCCCCTAGATAATGTATCTATGTTTATTACAGGGGAAACTGGGATTGGAAAATCAACACTCATTGACACATTATTCAATGCTAATTTGAAAGACACAAAATCCTCACATTTTTACTCAAATGTTGGACTTAAAATTCAGACATATGATCTTCAAGAAAGTAATGTTCAATTGAAATTAACTGTTGTGAAGACAGTGGGATATGGTGATCAAATAAACAAAGAAGCCAGGTTAGTGTTTTCTTATTTTATTTATAAAAGATTTTCTTATTTCAAGGAATTTAGTTTCTTTGTTGATATTTCCTCTGGCTATATCTCTCCCATCTGCCTCTATCTTCACATAGCCTTTTCTGCTCTCCTTGTGTCTCTTTTAAGGACATTTGTTGTTTGATATAAGATGTACCTAGATAATCCAGGATGATCTTATTTATATAAACACTCTTTATTATCAGTAAGATTAAATTTACTGGTTTTATGGATTAGAATGCAGACATAACTTTTTGGGTCTCACCATTGAATCCACTGTTCCTACTTTATAAGGTAAGATCGAATTCTTAAATAATTTTTAAAATAGATTTTCCCATTTATTTACTTGTTGCTTGGGGCGCCTGGCTGTCTCAGTCGGTTAAGGGACTGCCTTCAGTTCAAGTCATGATCCCAGGGTCATGGGATCAAGCCTCGAGTTGGGCTCCCTGCTCAGTAGAGAGCCTGCTTCTCCCTCTCCCTCCGCCCCTCCCCCTTCCCACTCATGCTCTCTCCTCTCTCTCACTCTATCTCAAATAAATAAATAAATAAAATATTTATTTACTTGCTGGATTACTTGTTTTCTATCACTTATCCAAGTAATAAATAAATTTATTTCTGTAAAAATTTAAACGTAGCAGATGATATAGAAACGCACTTAGTCAAACATAAATATTTTGAGCCTTTTCTTTTTCCAAAAATAGCCACTATTGTAAGTTTAATAAGTGTCCTCTCAGACCTTATGTTGTCATACCACTACTGAACTTTTGTAGTAATTAAAATATGTTTGAAATCATACAGAACAAACTTATTTAAACTATATTGTGTATGATTAAAAATGCATAAAACCTTTATGAACAGGTTAATAGATAATTCTGAAAGAAACATCCTATGTAAACATCTTTCTCTTCAAATTATGACTGATGCCCATGGGCCTCAGGCATTACCTTCCTTGACCACAACCTCTTATCAAACTCAGAAGAATGTAAAATGTTTGCCAGTGGCTGGGGAGAAGGAGGAATTAAGAGTTACTGTTCAATGGATATAACATTTTAATTATGCAAGATGAACAAGTTCTTGAGGTCTTCTGTATGAAAGAAGATTTAACAGTATATTTAACAGTACTTGATTGTACATTCAAAAATTTGTTATGAGAGTAGATCTCCTGTTAAGTGTTCTTACCACAATTTAAAAAAACCTATGGGATGCTGCAAAAGTATTGCTTAGAGGGAAATATATAGCATAAAATACTTATGTTAGAAAAAATAGGGGAAAAAAGAAAAAAAAGTACAATCCCAAGTATTGTAAATTTCCATGTTAAGAAACTAGACAAATAAAAACAAATTTACTCTAGAGCAAGAAAAGGAAAGGAAAAATTATACTACAGCAGAAATTGATGAAAACAGAAAAAAGGACAGAAAATCAATTAAATCAGCAAATTAATTTTGCTGGTTATTTACAAAGGTCAATAAAATTGAAAACCTTTAACCAGACTGAGCAAGCAAAAGAAATGAGAAATCAAATATCACCAACATCAGAAATAAAAAAGCAGACATTATTACTGATTTTACAAAATTAAAAAGATAAGAATACAACAAGTAAGTCAATGCCTATAAATTGAACAATCTTTTTTTTATTTTTATTTTTTTAGGGTGTAAGCTGCTTGGATTTGAATTTAATTTTTTTATTATGTTCAGTTAGCCAGCTTATAGTAAAGCCAACAATTTAGATGCTTTCATATATGGCCTTTATTGTGCTGAGATAAATTCCTTTTATCCTAGTTTCATGAGTTATTTTTTTAAATCATGAAAGGATGTTGAATTTTGTCAAATACATTTTCTGCAACTATTGAAATACTCATATGATTTTTATTTTTCAAGCAATGTGGGGTTTATAAATCAATTTCCTTATGTTGAATAATACTTGCATTCTGAAGATAAATCCTTTTTCATCGTGTATGATCCTTTTAATTTGCTATTGAATTCACTTTGCTAAGTATTTTGTTGATCTGTGTTCATTAGGGATATTGCCTGTCATTTCTTTTTTTTATTATTATTATTGTTATTATTATTTGTATCAGGATAATCCTGAGCATTCAAATGAGTTTAGAAGTTTTCCCTTTAATTTTCTGGAAGAGTTTAAGTATTGGTGTTAATTCTTCCTTTAATGTTTCTTAGAATCCTGAAGCCATATGGTCCTGAGTTTTTCTATGTTGGTAGATTTTTGATTACTTATTTAACCTCATTATTTGTACAAGAATACCTCATTTTATTACTGTTCACTTAATTGTTCTTGTCAGATATGTTTTTGTTTGTTTGTTTGAAAAATTGGAGGTTTTTGGCAAATCTCTGTGAAGCAAGTCTATATGGTTTTTCCAACAGCATTTGGTGACTTTGTGACTCTGTGTCACATTTTGTAATTTTGGCAATATTTCAAAAATTTTCATTATTGTATTTGTTATGGTGATTTATGATCAGGGATTTTTGATGTTACTATTGTAATTGTTTTGTGGCCCAATGACCTGTGCCTACAAAAGACAGTTAATTTAGTTCAAAAGTTGGGTGTGCTTTTAATTTTTTTTAAATTTTATTTTAATATGTTATGTTAGTCACCATACAATACATCATTAGTTTTTGATGTGATGATCCACGATTCATTGTTTTTGGATAACACCCAGTGCTCCATTTAGTACGTGCCCTCCTTAATACCCATCATGGGCTAACCCATCCCCCCACCCCCTCCCCTCTAAAACCCTCAGTTTGTTTCATATAGTTGCTCATAATATGTTCTTATAATTGTTTGTATTTCTTTGGTGTTGGTTGTGATCTCTCCTCTTTCATTCATGATTTTATTTATTTGGGTCATTTCTCTTTTCTTTTTGATAAGTCTGGCCAGGGGCTTATCGTTTCATTGATTTGTTCTACTGTTCTTTTGGTTTCTATTTCATTGAAAACCCAGGTGTAGGGTTAGGTTGTGTATTTGAGACCTTTCTTGTTTCTTGAGAAAGGCTTGTATTGCTATATACTT